TGTGAGGCTAAGTGATTAACTTTTGTGTGTTTTTGTCAGGCAGAAATTTATTTATACCCCCTTAGGGTGTTAGAGGTTAAGCTCTGCATATTAATCCCGGGGGTAAAAAGTCTCTGTACAGGGATAAAGTCATACTGGAGCACAGTCCGGCTGTCCTTGGTTGAACGACCGCATGTGTCTGAATGAACATTGAATTTTAACTTGAATATTTTATACAGCTGCAGGAAACTATGTTTGTTTAAGACACGTTTATTCTCATTACTCTCAGAAGCTTAATGATGTCTCAAACCAAGGAGGGGGAAAAAACTCCCCGTTTTCAGCCGGTTCCATGTCCGGCCAGGAACATCCAGTCCACTTTTATAAACAAACACATCCTGACTGTTCAGTGGAAGTTTTGAAAGTCTCTGCCGGTCAGGGAAGTCTGCTACAGATCACAGCAGGTTCACCCAATTTTTAAAAAAGGCCTTTATTTTCAGAGCTTATAGAGTAAATGTTGAATGGAAAAAAATAAATAGCAACCATGAAGAATGTAGTGATGGAGATGTTTTTCTTGAAATGCTCAATGTGTTTTAACATACTGCTCTGATTTTATTTTTTTATGTTTTTTTTATTTTTATTTTTTTATTCTTTATTTTTTATTTTGCAAAATGTAATATGTTGTAAATATGTATGAACTTCCTGTGGTTTGGCTGCTACCTTGGCCAGGTGTCTCTTGAAAAAGAGATTCTGAATCTCAATGGGACGTCCTGGTTAAATAAAGGTTTAAAAAAAAAAAAAGAGAAAAATCAGGGAAGACCCAGATTTTGCAGGAGGAACTTCTGTATGCTTCCTGAAGGGGATGTCTGGGTTTCCATCCTGGACCATTTACCCTTTTGCAGAAGACAATGGATGAATTGATGGGTGGATGGATTTTTCCCGCCGTTTCAAAGGCAAACCGTGCTCAGACTCAACCCACTGCAGCCATGTTTTCCTCTATCTAGCTGTTGATAATAGTCGAGGGGCACATTTCTTTTCCGTTTGCTCAGCAGCTTCAACGTCTATTTTGAGCCATTTGTTTTTCTTTGGATGTTTGTTTCCTGCTTTGCCGACTTTTAGCTTTGGGAAACCCTCTATTGTATCAGCAGAAAGGGTTTCTCTTTAAACTGTTGTCAGTTAACATTTTTGGATCAGCATAAAACTGTATTTCTTCCCATTTTTTCATTTCCCTCAGCAGGAAAAATTATCTAGTAAATTTTGTTCTTAGCAAAGAACACATGAAGTAAATAAGAAAAAAAAAATGCAATCTAGGATTCCAAACTTTTGGAAGTTTTGAGAGAAAAGTAGCTGTTTTTATCAAGTTTATTTTTTTGCAAAACAATTTATATTTTATTATTCTTAAATTTGCTTTTTTGAAATTTCCTATTTCTGGACCACTTATTCTTCACTTCTGGGGGCATCCTTTCCTCTGCAAAAAAATGAAATCTAAATAAGTCATTTCTTCTTATAATAAGTGATTTTTTTTCTTGAATTAAGGATTTAAGTGAGACACTTTGCCAATGGAACAAGACAATTTACACTTAAAATAAGAACAAAAACAATTGCATTGTCTTATTTCAAGTGCATAATATCTAAATACCTTATTTTAAGAGTAAAAATACAAATTCCATTGGCAAATCATCTTATTTATCTGCTCAAATTAAGGGTAAATAGCCTTAATTTAAGACATTTTTACTCATTTTGAGATAATTTTTGCAGTATTCCTCTCGAGTAAGATGTATTTATATTGGTCTGTATGGATGCTACACTGCAAAAACGGTAATAATTTCTTAAATTAAGTGTATTAACCCTTAATTTGAGTAGGTAAATGAGATAGTTTGCTAATGGAATGAGTATTTTTACTCTTGAAATAAGATAATTAGATATTATGCACTTGAAATAAGACAATGCAACTGTGTTTTCTTATTTTAAGTGTAAATCGTCTTCTTCCATTGGCAAAAAGTCTCTTTTACCTCCTCAATTCAACAACAAATGCACTGATTTTAAGAAAAAATTACTTATCTAGATTTAGATTTTTTGCAGTGTAGCAACAACAGCTTGAAGTGTAGAGAATGTAATTCATGAAATCCAATCAGAAAAGGATGCAATTTGTACAAAATTCAATCTGAAAAAGAGAAAATTGAATTTAAAAAAATGTAATAAATAATAAATAAATGGAAAAAACTAAAAAAAAGTAACTCTCATAACCTGGGAAGTTTACAAAGTTGTATTTCTGGATTACATCTTTTTTTATTTCCGTTTGAAAAACATGTTATTTGCTTGCAAAATCCAGTCCTTGAGCGAGGAAAATGTGTGAATCCAAAAAATTTCTTTGCAAGTGTCCATCTAACCAAATCTTCTAACCTTAGATTAACCCCAAAGGTGTTCTTGATCTTGCTTTGAGATGAATTCACTAAGCAACAGCAGATTCTGTTAAATTATTAACATTTTGAGAAAATTCTTCTGAGAAATAACTGCAATAATCTGCCAGTTTTGAGACTTGCTGTTTGTAGAATGTAAAATGATTTCAAGAAATCTTATCAAATGCAATGGTCTTATCCGTATTTTATTGCAGTCATTTTTGATTAAATCCAATAGAGTCTGCTTTTCCTTAGTATATGAATCTAAAAAAGTACCATGGAAAAATACTTTTTGGCTATGAGATTGTATTTTTGCAGTGTAAAACAGCAACGGCTCAACATCCAGTGTCTGTGCTTAGATCTGGATTACAGCTGCAAAGCCTGCTCTTAAAGGAATAGTACACCCAAAACATGATTAGCCTTCATTTTCTACTCACCCCCATGCTGAACAACACTC